GGAAGACTCACAGCAGCCTGTGCAGTAACAACCTCCCAAGAGCAGCCCGCCGGCCTGGCTTTGGGTTTATGGGTGGAAGACACAGCCTGTCTGACTGACTTGAAGGGGCACTGATGGGCCCTTGCCTCATCTCACCTTGCCCCTTACTGTCATGGGTCCTGATTGTTGCAATGTCCACAAAATGACAACTCAGCACTAGGGGAAAAGGTAATTTTCTTGAAGGTGATTTGGGAGTTCACTTTACAAACTGGTGTGTATTGGAAAGATGTTTGATGGAAAATGGGAACTAAATCCTTTTGTGAAATAATGGCTAGTGGTAATACGATCATTTGAGAAGACTGACATTGTGAAGACTGAGTCACCTTGCCGAAGGCTCCTGATTTTCACATCTCAGAAAATATAAACTGGAAGTGCTATGTACATAAATGTCATCCACTCTGGTGGAACTACAGTATGCAAGGCAGCGAGAAGTCTGGGTGTAAGGCAAATGTTACAGGTACTCTGTTGGGAAGAACAAAGAAGGGACCCCAAAGAACTAGAAAAGAGGCAAGTACAGCGGCTACTTGCCCAACGTGGGGGTTCCATACCTGCAATCACCCTCCAACCTCTGTTTCCAGACAGAGGAACTCCTCCTGCAGAAACCATTGTCCCCTACAGTGCAGCCTGCTCACAGGCTGCAGAAACTGTTGTGTTTACCAATGCAAAAGAGGCAGTGGTGAAAGTAGGTGATTATCTGAGTAATTCACGCAGAACATTTACATGTGCCTTAGCTATCTAAATACTAATCCAAACTCTTTGTTTTGTGTGTGTTGTGTATATGTGTGTGTAGGGTGTGTGTGTGGATGTGGGAGTTTGTGTGTGTTGTCTTCCTAATTATGATCTAGCTCAGTGTGTATGTTCTATATAGCATGACATGAAAAACTGGTTAGTTTTAACCAAAACATTGAAAATGTATTAGTAACTGATTGTTCATTGAATTTTTTAGCATTTATTTATTTAAACTTGCCTAAAATGTGACTAACTTTTATGTGAGCAGGGTAATAATAGATTTAAGGGATTTTATTAGCAACATTAAAAACCAAGACATCATACAACTTGAGGAAATTTTGAAAAAAAAACATCAATAAAAGGAAACACTTTCCCCGTTGACCTTCTTAGAACTAGGTCAGGCTTCTGTCCTAGAATTGCTAACTTGTAATCAAAAGATATTTTAAAAGAAGTAGAAACGCCCCACTCTATAGCCTTACAAAACTATCAGATTTTTTTTTTTTTAAATGGGATCTTTTTCTTCCAGAAATATTGAAAATAATGAATGGTTGGATTCTTATTCTATTATTTCAAGACACACGTATTTTCTCCCTATATGATAGAAATCTATTTTTATAATAAAAGGTTAATGAGGAGGGGTTAGAGATGAGGCCTGTCATTAATCCTAAGGCTGTTTTTTGTGTGTTTTGGCTGTGATTCTGCAATGAAGAACACGGACGTGGAGGTGCTGCCAAGCTAGACCTGAATATATCCTACAGATATGAGAAATTTGAGAAAAAGAAGCACGTATGGATTGCACACTTCCTCAATTTTGGGCGACTTGAAGAGGCTCAAAAGAAACTTGTGAATTTAACATTTACAGTGTGTTCATGTGATCACAATCTGTTTCTTTCTCCCTTGTTTCCAAACTCATTTCTAAATATTCTAAAAGTAAAGGCTGTGTTCTGAATCCCAGTACTGGTATGTTTCAGCCAAAACAGGGTTTAACATGGCAGTGTGTGTTCCTATCTGAATGCTTGTCCTAAATCATCATTAGCTGTTTTACAGAAACTGAGGATGAAATTTCATATGCATGCAGTTTATGAGCTCTCAGGAAAAGGACTCAGAAGTAATTACAAGATCATGTAGCAAATTCTAAAATGTTTTGTGTCTTGGAAGCACTGAAATGATAGAGCGATAAGAATAATTGAAACCAATTATAATTCTTCAAGTCTGCAAAGGAAATCACAGAAAGTTTCCTGTTATTGGGAGCCTAGATAAAAATGATCAAGGAATAGGAGGTTTTGTTTGTTTGTTTTTCTAGCCCTTTAAATAAAAAGTGCCCCATGGCTTTCTAATTGTGGCAAGCATTAGTTAGTCAAAATTGGGTTATTGATCACCCTTCTCTGCTCTCCAGAGTATGATGTTTTGCAAAGCAACAACACAACATGCCTAAAAACTTACTTGTACTAAAGCAAGATATCTCCAGGTGAAATGACTTTGGTGTAAAGGTTCTATATGGATGCCCATATCTCCATCACAAGGACTATCTTGCTGACTTGTAGATTGGACCCTAATTTCCCATATGTAGCCTGAAAATACTTTACTATTGAGGACAAATATTTTCTTAATTAAATAATCTATAAATTTTTTGTTTTAAATTGATTTGATATAAAATTAAGGAAGAGACTTTTTGGCGTATTAAGAAACAGATTCCTGTCTCCATCCGTTCATAAAAGGTTGCATAAAACCTGGCATGAACTGTAGCTGATTTGTGTATCTAGTAAGTTGCAGTGAAATGGAAAATCCTACAAGATGTGTAGTATCTGAGCTTTTTGTTTTCTATTAAGGCATGAGCTGGGTAAATTGGGGCAGTATTGGTGAGGACCAGAGTATATTCTAGTGGCATTGACAATTTTTGTTCAGGACTAGGGGACTTTCCAGGCTCTTTAGAGGCATTCTGTTCTAATTCAATTAATATGAAATATCTATTCTTCTACTCCATCCCCAAATGCTGTTTAAGAGAGTGGCAGTCACAGTTTTAAGTATGATCCACAGTGGTCAGAAATCTGGGATCCTTGTCAAAAGACTGAGCCATCATCTCCTTGGTTTAAAATATTTCTGAAAATGATGAACACAGTAAGCACCTTTGGAATGCAGATCACTCATAAACGTCCCTACAGCTGTAAAACCATCACCAACAATATTTCCAAATTATGCATGCAAAGGAAGCTGAGGCAGAGCTGGATGGACACGGTATCTGTGTGGAACAGTCTTGTAGCCGTGTTTTCCCACACATACCCTTGATAAACACAAAGACTGCTGCATCTCCCTCAGCTCTCTGCAGACATCTCATCTTCCTTCCACCAAGGGAAACATGTACATATGTAAATGAGCAGCTTAGCTCTGCAACTGTGCTTGGCAAGGGCCCTTCTATGTACTGTGGGCCACCCAGGCTCATCTCAGGGGCTGGCCCTGCATGGAGAGCTTGACTTAGGCAAGCCCCAGAGAAAAGGCCTTCCAGGTCTTTTAAATTAGACACTGCAGTGGGTAGATTGCTATATATGCAAGACTCCATCTATATTTTCTTAGTGAGTGTCTAGTATACTCTCTTGAGATGAAGGTTCCCCTTCATAGGAGAGGAACCATGAACTACTGCAGTTTGATCAGGTGGATAACTGATGTTAAGAAGAGAATTTTTGGATTCAGAAAACGCAGGGTATTAGTATATACATTTTACATGTATTATTTCACGAGACTTGTCAACAACAACAACCATGTCCAATGTTGTGTGGCTTCGAAACAAGAGGCACTGGTAAAATTGTTTCTAAGGTAAAACTTGGGCAAAATCTATGCTATAAAAATGTCTTTAGGTTATTTTCCTCACAAGAAGAGTTCCATTAGAAAATTTAACTCTCTCCAGCACTACTTTAAAACCTACCAGGTTGAAATTCTTCATATTATTAGAAATTATAAATTTGTGAAGTTGGAGGTTATATTTGAAGAAGACTCACCTTGAACCACCTGCCTTTTGACCACAGACCACTTCATCTGAGGTTGGGAGGGGCTGTGCATGCAGTGAAAGACAGAACTAGTATACTAGTACATGACATTCTCCAGTAAAGAAGAAATTTCATTGAACTCCAGATTTTAAACCTGCTCCTCCGCAGACATTTCTTGTAATTACTATTTTTTAAATTGGAATTGCTAAATAAAAGCCAATTGGCTAGTGACGCATGTAACTACTACCAAAGCAAAAGACAGGGAGTTGACAGAAGGAAAAACAAAGATCTGGAATGCCTCACACTCTCTGGACTCAGTCCTTGGATAACTGGGCTGATCCTGTGTCTGTATTTTTGCATACACTTGATGACCAACTATGTTAATAAGAAAAAACAAGTCTATATAGTTTAAATTTTTCTGGCCTCCTTTACTCCTACCCCCTTCTGGTCTAATGTGCTGTGTCTGGTATGCCGTGAAATCAGTATTTTTATATCCTTTCTCTGAATAGCATCTTACTTTTTTCTGAGTAATAATAATATGTAAAATAATTAATTAAAATAAAAATTTATGATTTCCAACCAAAATAATTCCATTTTTGTGTGAGAAAGGTGAGAAGCACAGAGGTTCTGGTCCCAAACTATTAGTTATTAGGAACCAAAACATTAATTTAGTTATTAGCAGTCAAAGGCCTACTAACTGGTAAGACGTTTTTTTCCCCCCCATCAGTGGTGGGAAACTTCAAAAAAGTCTTATGAAGTACATACATATTGGCATCCAGTTCTAACAAAGAAGTAATATCAAGAAGCAAGTTGGTTTTGTGTTACAAAAATATCAAAAGAGTAATAATTGTGAGGAATATTTTTCTTTGGGATTTTGCTGTATATCCATATTTCAAAGTATAAAATAATTTTTGTTCATCAAAATATATAATTGATGATAGCCATTACCCATTTTTTGCATCTAAAGTTAATTTGACTTGAAAATTAATATTCACTAAGAATTAAAAAAATTCTATCTACATTTCTTCCACACTCTGGTGTATGTTTTCAAGACAAAGGCTACATAAATCTCTTTGCAAGATGAAGATAACTATTGAACCCATGATAGCATAACATAAACTAGGCACATACTCTGGGGTTGAGACTTGGTCTAGTAAAATGCATCTCTTAAGCTAAAATGTTGTTGAACTAGTCCAAGGATCCAAAGTTCAAATACTGCTGACTTCAGTAGTTTGAAAGAAAGTAATAACCTTCTGATGTTCAGAGACAATCGACGTCTTTGATGTCAGCAAAATGAGAATTATGAAAATCATAATTTTTTCCTTAAATGGAAACTCTTGGATTGCACGTGTATACCCTTCCCAAGACTTGAGTGAGGCTAACTGCAGTGGTGTAGAGCAAAAGAGGCCACTGAGAGAGGAACTGGGGTCAAAACTCACTGAGGTTCCCTCCTGAGCACAGGGCACCAGGGAACATGGGGCTGAGATAGCCTGACTGCTTCCAGGCCACCAGGGATCAGGCACCTGGAGGCACCAGGTAAGGGTTGTAGGAGAACAGATACACAATGGGGTGGGGCCCGAGAAAGTTTCTCAGATGTTTGATTGCTTGTTTTACAGATTCTTTGCAAGGATAATTTGCAGCTGCTTCCAACATCCAAAAACTGTTCCTAAATATCACCAAGCTATAGATTCAGTAAGGATTAACAAGAATATCATTCTAAAACTTAAAGGGTGTGTGTGTGTGTCTGTGTGTGTGTGTGATACATAATAAAAATATTTGTCGGATACTTCCTATGATGCTCAAAGGTAACACAACTGAGCAGTGTTCATTGTAACTTGGGATTGGTCATTATGGTCTGGGGATGAGGGAAAGTAGAGAACTGTAGAGTATGAACTCATTGCTACGTGAGGCATTTAGAGATACAGGTATCCGATCCAATAGACCAAGTTAAAGAGCAGGAACGATGTAGGGAAAAAGACCCGAGAGTACGAGTCCAGCTCCAAGATGTCTATGTGAATACGCCCTTTTCTCCAGGATCCTGATTTACATTCTTCGTAGCAGCAGAAGAAGCTCTGGCAGTCTTTGCCATCCAGACACTCATAGACACAAGTGTCTTCAAACTCCTGCCAGTACATGGAATTGTTCAAAGTGATCATCGCAGGTGGGGGTGGCCTCATATCGAGGAGAGAGTAGTTCTGCAGGCAACAAGAACAATACAACAATAATCATGAAATGCAGTAAAATAGGCTGAGGTGTGACGAGTAGCAAGTGTGTATTATGTCCATCTACTAGATAAAAAAGATGAATAAGTGTGTCCACTCCCCACACATCTCCAACAGCTGAGAGTTGGTTAAGAATTTGCAAATCTCCTGGGAGAGAAATTGTATTGCAGTATTTAAAACTTGCATTTCTCAGAGTATTTGTGCAGGAGACTGAGAATATTTTCAAATGTGCATTAGCTATTTCAAATCCCTGTTCCCATGTTCTGCCTACGTTTCTGCTGATTTGTAGCAAATATTTACATATTATATTATTCTCCCTTAAACAATGTATATTTTTAAGTGTACAGAGGGAAAACAATTGGTATTTTCTTCTAATTAAATAGAAAAATTATGGTGTACAGGAATGATGAGAGACTCTTCCTGTTCCACATAAGTCAGGAGCATGTACGTATTCAAGTAAGTTTCTCCATGTGGGACAGCAAGACAGCACTGGCCACCTCGAGTGATCATCAAAAATGTGCACAATTGGAATGTTTTTTTTTCTACTTCCCAAGTGATCTTCCTAACAAGGAAAAGTCTATATAGACAATGCATATCATTCACTCATCAATGGCAGAAATCATTCTTAACATTGAGGAGTGGCTTCAGAGAGATGCACTGCCAACTCTTCAGGCAGCTGCTGAACTACAACCTACTATTAAATGGAGTCCCTGGGTGGCAAAAAACAGTTAAACCTTAGGCTGTTAACTGAAAATTTGGAGGTTTGAGTCCACCCAGGGGTGCCTCCAAAGAAAGACCTAGTAGTCTACTTCCCAAAAATCACAGCCATTGAAAGCCCTATGTAGCATAGTTTTACTCTGACACACGTACGGTTGTCATGAGTTGGAATCAGCTTCATGACAACTGGTTACCTATTGCATGGAAGTTTGTTAAGAGGATACATTTCTAAGTTTGGTTGAGTAATGGAAGATAAATAAAATCTATGTGACTTTCTGCTTGAGATTTTCTTTGTGTTAGTGAATGAAGACAGGGAGGGATGCAAGGGGAACTATGGAAGCAGATATCAAGGGGAGAAAGGGACACAGAACCCACTTCTTAGCTGGCTGGATGGTTAGCTCATTTGCGCAGAGAGAGCACAGTGTTGGGAAAGTGGCCACTCAGCACTCATTAGAAAGCATCATGTGGACCTCTTGTATTTTTACCAAGAACTATTCGTACAAGGGAACGTGGCGCCCATCTTCCCTCTACTTTTGGATCGAAGTTTGGTTCATACATTCATAGCTGTGTGGAGCCATAAGCCAGGGGTGAAGGCGGAAGTGTAGAGAACTCAGAGTCACTACTTGTAGCCTTTTGGTACATCTTTTGAAATGTTCCTCAATGGCCACTCTAGGGTGGATATTCGTATAAGTGAGAGAGTGAAATACCTGCATGTGGGGAGAAACCTAACCTGCTCACTGTGTATCACTCCCTCCTTGAAGGCCACCGGCCATCTACCTTCCTCTATGATTCTGGTGAAAGGACAGGGGTAGGGCCCTGCCATCCCTGCAGCTCTAATATACATACTTCTCTAGATGAAGGCTTCTAAGACCCAAGTGTGTGTAACAGTCACCAGGACTTTCTTCAAGGCCATTCAATTTTCTGTCTTTTAAAAAACATTCTAGTTTTGTAGAGATTTTTCTTTTCTCTATGTTAAAAGAATTTTCTTCTCCTCAGCAGCATCATTCCTACACCAAAGACGTTCCCCTTTCCCTCAGCTCCCAGGCCCTGGCAGCATGGTCATAGGCTCTTAGGCCAGGTGACTGCTCTGGCCTGTTACTCAGAACCCCTCCCACCACGCTTCAGTGTGTGGCTACTCAGAAGCATAAACTGGCAAAATCTGTATGTTCTCTGTGGTATCCACAGCTATAAATGTGGTTTACCCACTAACCTGCTGTCAGAACTACAAGGATAAACAGTTGAGAGTATAGATTACTACTGAGCCACCTTATCAGAGCAATTTAAATGCACTAAATATAAGGTACTGATTTACCAGTTGATATGGAGTCAATTCCTACTCATGGAACCCTATGTGTGTCATAGTAAAACTGTGCTCCATAGGGTTTTCAATGCTGATTTTTCAGAAGTAGATCACCAGACCTTCCTGCCAAGGTGCCTCTGGGTAGACTTGAACCTCCGATCTTTTGGTTAGCAGTTGAGTGCGTTAACCATCCATCACCCAGGGACTTCATAGGTACTGACTAGCAGTTAGAAAACCACCTATGATGTATGGGTGGGTATTATGGATTGAATTGTGTTTCCCCAAAATGTGTGTAAACTTGGCTAGGCCACGATTCCCAGTATTGTGTAATTGTCCACCATTTTATCATCTGATGTGACGTTCCTACGTGTTGCAAATCCTACCTCTATGATGTTAATGAGGTGGAATGAGCAGCAGTTATGTCAGTGAGGCAGGACTCAGTCTACAAGATTAGTTTGTGTCTTAAGTCAATCTCTTTTGAGATATAAAAGAGAGAAGAAAACAGAGACGGGGGACCTCATACCACCAAGAAACAAGAGCCAGGAGAATAGCATATCCTTTGCTCCTGAGGTCCCTGTGCTGAGAAGCACCTAGACCAGGGGGGAGACTGTGACAAGGACCTTCCTCCAGAGCCAACACAGAGAAAAAGCCTTCCTCTGGCACGGACACCCTGAATTCAGACTTCTAGCCTACTAGACTGTGAGACAATAAACTTCTGTTTGTTAAAGCCATCCACTGGTGGTATTTCTGTTAATAGCAGCACTAGATAACTAAGACAGTGGGCACATGGCATTTGGAAAAATTGCTGTTGTTAGTTGCGTTTGAGTCGATTCCGACTCATGGCGATCCTGTGTAAAATTAGTGATTCGATATGTATAAAGGGAATAAAAGTCCTGATTATACATAAAAGTTGTTATGTGATAAAAATGCAGTTCACATCAATGAGTTAAATTTAAATTACTCAACTTTTCAATAGTTAGATTCCTACCTCACACCATGTGCTAAAAATACAGATGAATTAATAATTAAAATGTAACAAAACTTTAAAAGCTAGAAAACTATGGTCAACATTTATGTGACTTAATTTCTCCATACTTTAGTTTCCTCATCTGTAGAATGTGTTGTTGTGAGGACAATATGAGTTGATGTGGGAAAGCACTTAGAACCATGTAAGTGCTCAAAAGATGTTGAGGGTGAGTTACTTCATTCTGAAGGCAGAGGAGATCTTCATAAGCAGGACACAGAGGCAAAAACCACAAAAGGAAAAGACTGGTAAACTTGACTACATAAAACCAGTTGTGCTCTTGGGGAAAGGCACAAGGAAGAACACAGACAACATTGTCAACGAAAGCTGGAATAAAAACTACACAACAAAAGACAGGTTAACATCCTTAATACATGCAATGTATGATTATATAGATAAAATATATTGCATAAAATAGAATATACATAATGTGCAACATGTAAATAACTGGCAGATTGCTACTTTAAAAGACAGTAAAAAGCAATTCATGGAAACATAAATGCAAATAAAAAAGTAAAAATATTTAACGTCATCAATACTCAAAGAAATGCCATTGGGAGCAGTCTGTAGTGCCGTTTTTCTGTTTTGCCTTCAAACCAACACAGGGAGATTTTTGAGGGGTGGGTGTCCTGGCACTGCTAATGGAGCTCATGGAATGCCATTTGCCAATGATCATGCAAACCGCTTGACTCAGCATTCTCCTTCAAGAAAATTACACTTAGTAAATAACCACAGATGTGTACAAAACTATAGTTATAAGAATGTGTATTCAAGTGAAATGTCATGGATAGGCCCAATACCCAAGCCAGGTTAATTTTAATTAAATATTTGCTTGTGCATTAATCAAGAGCATATGAGGCAATCATTAAAAAGATGCTATAAAATAATATTATGACACAGAAACCTATTCATATTTTTCAGTTACAAAAACAAATTGTAAAACAATGCATAAGTCAAGATTTACTTTATCTAAAATATATTCATATATATTATTTAAATGTCTAGAAGAAATTAGAAATATATATACCATACACTAATCCCTGGGTGGAAGGATTATGATTATCTCCTCTATTTTTCAAATTTTCTATGTTGGGAATTAAAAAAAAAAGTAAATACATTTTTAAGGGAGTACTTGCATTACTCATTGGTCTTCAATACATGCATACATAAACAGTAACATATCTTTAAAATGAAATCTTAGATTAGTAGAAGTTCTCAGAAATATTTGCACCTGTAATGCTATACATACGGAGGGCGCTTGTAGGTTTATTCGCTCATGAATCCGTTTTGAGGAATCCGGATGCAATAACTACAAGAAAGGCAGAAAAAAGTGGTTAGAAAACTGCCATGAAAGTCTGTGCATCACTCTGCACTAAAATAATCTTTAAAGGATGACTAAACTCATTCCATCGCTGGTAGGTTAGGCTGAACAGAGGTTGAAGGCTCACATTCATGTCTTCTAAAAATCTGTCCTATGTCTTAAAGTCTATATATTTATATTTTTACAAAGTTCTTAAAAATAAAAGTGCATCTAAACGCAATGCATTTATCTCAAAACTATCCACTATCCTCGCATTGTCCCCCCAGAATATCTTTGCTACTGCAACTCACAGATGTTTTCTTCTTAGTGGTCGTTGGTTTTCTACAACTCGAATAGTAGTTAAGAGTGGCGTACTCCATCAGAGCGGCAAAGACAAACAAGAAGCACACGGTCACAAAGAGGTCCATGGCGGTCACATAGGACACTCGGGGCAAGGACTTCCTTGCTATGGTGCTTAGGGTGGTCATGGTCAGTACTGTGGTGATGCCTGCAAAGGGGACATTTATAAAGTTGTAAAAGGAAGCAAAGCAGAATAAACATAACAAAAGATCACCTACAATCGCTCTACTCCAACACAGCTGTTTTATTTTTGCATGAATTCTTCTTCATATTACATACTTAATTTAATATTACTTTTATTAATTTTAATGTCTGTGCAATTTTGTAAGCAACTTTTTAATAAGATTTCTTATCATTGTCTTCATAATATTAAAATATCTGAATCAACTTTACACCTCCAATGTATTCAGTCATTCTCCTATTTTTGTATGTTTTGTCTTTTAAATACATATTTAATAGAGATACCATTTATAGTCCACCTGTACATTCCCTGGAGTCCCTGGGCAGTGAAAACAGTTAAGGGCTCAACTACTAACTGGAATGTTGGCAGTTTCAACTCACCAAGAGGCACCTTGGAAGAAAGGTCTGGTGATCTGCTTCTGAAAGGTCCTAGCCTTGAAAATCCTATGGAGCAGTTCTACTCTGCAGACGTGGGGTTGCCATGAGTCAGAATTGACTTGATGACAACTTTTTTTGTTTTGGTTGTATGCATTCCATGCTTTTAGACATCTCACACTTTCATACATAGTTTTCTTCTGCCTAGATGAACCCCTTTCATTCTTCCTTCTCCTCCCATATCCAATCTGTAACCCCCTCCATTCTTCCCCACACAGCTTAAGCACCGCTCCTTCTGAGGTTCCTCACCTGACAGCACCTCAGGCAGAGTTGATAACTTGAGCATCTCACTATCAGTGGACCTTCTATGACCCTTGTTTTTTGCATCATCTCAGAGAATTGATTATATCTTTGCATGTTTGTATCCCCAAAAACATCATGTGGCCAACAAGAGCAAATCTGTACCTTGCTCATCTGTGTTTACCTGTCACCTAGAATAGTGCCCAGCACACTTTAGGCATTTAATGAATGGTTTGCAATGAATGAATTCATGAACTAATTAATTAATAATACTCAGTGTTGGTCTGACTTTGTTTCAAATTTGCAAGTCAGCAGTAAAGATTTAATCAGAGACTGAAAGAGATTTAGAAAGGAGACATACATATGTTGGGACAGTTTAGAAGGAAAAATAAACGAGAAAAGGAATGGAGATTATTGAACATGAAGAAGAATTGATATGTACTGTGTATATAGATGGAGCCCTGGTGGTGTAGTGGTTAAGCATTTGGCTGCTAACCAAAAGGTCAGCAATCTGAATTCACCAGCCACTCCTTGGAAACCCAATGAGACAGTTCTACTCTGTCCTATAGGGTCGCTGAGTTAGAATTCACTTGACAGCAGTAGGTTTGGTTTTTGGTATTTTGGTGTATATAGATATGTTTTATCCAGTCTAATAATCTATGTTAACTAAAATGTTTAGTTCATTAACATCCAACTTGATGGCAACTAACAATAACACAACAACAGCATTTCATGTAATTTATGATATGTTTGTGTTTAATTCTACCGTGAAATTTTGTGCTTTCCCCTTGTGGCTTCTCTTTCTCTTTCTATAACATGTACTCTAGGAATCACAATATGCATACTTAATTTATCAAATTTAAAATAAATAAAAATCTTCAATCCCTCAACCATAAGGATTTCAAAACACATTAATGCCACTTACCTTTCCCCCTATTAATATACTATTATGTTGTATATTTTAATTTTATTTTATAAAAGATCGTCAGTCTGAATCTACCAGCTGCTCTTTGGAAACCCTGTAGGGCAGTTCCACCCTGTCCTATAGGGCTGCTGTGAGTTGGAATCGACTTGACAGAAATGGGGTTGGTTTTTTGGTTTTAACCCTACCATATGATGCTATTATTGTGTTCTCTAAAAAATTTTAATTTTTTCTATGTATTTACTACATTATTTGCCAGAGTTTTATTTTTTATAACCCGTAAATGGGGATTGGATTTATCATATACTTCTTTTTAACTTTATTGTAATTATCATACTGTTATCCTTCCTTAATACATAAAGGTGATATATTAAGTTGCAGATTCCCTAATATTAACCAAAATTCCCACTCCTAGAATTTCCTGTTTATTTCTGTGAATGCTCAACTTGGGCAAGACTTGTTTCTTAATATTTGTATAGGATAGTTGTATTTATGTTTTTATGAGTGAGTTTGGCTCATAACATTCCTTTTTAGTGCCCTTATCTGGAAGAAGTTCATATGTAGGAAGTTTATACTGTTCTCATTGAACTAATTTAATTCTTTTATTTATTATTTGAAAATATGTATGGATTTGTCCTTCAAAGTTTGGTAGAATTTAACTAGAAAACCATATAAGACTAATTTTTTTATGTGAAGATTTTAATCTATGTATGTAATTTCATAAATTATTATAGTACTATTTATGCTTTATATTTCTTCTTGCATTAAATGATAAATAATATTTAAGTCTCCAATTATATTGGCATAGAGCTATAATTATGGTCTTTTTGTCATTTTTAGTATGATTTATTAGTGTCTTTACCCTTAATCTCATTAGTTTGTCTATTTCTTCTCAAAGAACTACTTTTGTCACATTAAATAAATTACAAGTAGCACAACAAAATCAATAAAGCAGAATGAAAAAGTATGAGACAGTTATAAGAAAGATACCAAAAATAGCCAAACCAGCTGCTGTTGGGTCAATTCTGACATATGGCAACCCCATGAGTGTCAGAGTAGAACTGTGCTCCATAGGGTTTATGATGACTGATTTTTTGGAAGTAGATTGCCAGGCCTTTCTTCAGAGGCACCTTTGGGTCATCTCAAACCTCCAGCCTTTTCGTTAGCAGCTGAACAAGTTAATCTTCTGCACCAACCTCCCCCGCCAAAAAAAATACCAAACCTTTTGCCACCAAGGCACTTCTGATTTATGGAAGCCCTACGTGTTACAGACTAGAACTGCCTCATAGGGTTTTCTTGGCTGTAATCTTTATGGAAGCCGATCACCAGGCTTTCCCGGTACTGCTGGGTGAGTTTGAGCCCCCAAACTTTAGGTTGGTAGTCGAGTGCAAACCAGGGACTCCATAATAAAGATAGAATCAGAAGTGAAAAAGAAACAAAGACCAACAACATTTGAGAACCTAGTAAGTCTTGCAGGTAACAAGATTACGGTTCTCTTTTACGAAGGCTCACAAGGCCAATGACTACGGTCTATTTGACAGAGAATTAAGGGAACATGTCATAGAAAGTATTATATTAGGTAATGAATTGGGAAGATTTGGAAAAAAAGAGGAAATTGACAGGAAGGATACTTACAGAAAATGGAGGCCCTCTAAGCCTCTATATAAGTTCTTCTCTGGAATGATATACTAACATATCTATATTCTGAAAGTTAAATGAAAACAATGGAGCATATGTGTGAACGTCATCTGAGTATCTGATTGACAATACTAGCCTGGAAGTACAAGGACAGCATGAGCCAACACATTACTTTTAAGTAGACTAGCATTACTTTTCTTTCCATGCTACCACTTTAATAATAGAAAAAAAAATCCTAATTTTGATAAAGGTATTGAGCTAGCAAAAAATAAATTTCATACTATGATGGTATGATGCCTTCAAACACTTGGTTGACAGGTTAATTACTGTGTAAAACATTGAAAACATTTAACTATGTTTTAAAATACAAAATAGTGTTAATTCTCTAATTGTTAAAATACAGATTACTGTTTTCATGAATATAAACTTCAGCTGTGCTTCCCTTGTGTAGGATGCATGGATAAGAACCAGTAATACTTCATTTAATATGTTCTTGGATTAAGAGTGGAATCTGTTTACTAATGAGTCTTCTATAAATATATTTGGAATAAAATAAAAATATGGTATTGACATACCAAACATGTCTTGATGTAATGAATCCTGAATTAAGGCAATTTTCTGTTTTTGCAGCGAGAGCATGCCATAAGAGAGAATTATTTTCACATCAAATAGTTAAATGTACATTTATAAATATTAATTTTTATATGTGATTCCAAACCCATAGCTGTCCAGTTAATTCCAACTCATAATGACTGTATAGGACAGAATAGAACTGCCCCATAGAGTTTCCACATCTGTAATCTTTATAAAGCAGACCGCCACATCTTTTTTCCGTGGAGTGACTGATGGATTTGAACCACTGACCTACATATAATAATGTAGTTTATGAGATTTTTAAATTAATTTTATTACTTTTCTGACTAAAATTTCAGGAAACATATATTGAAACTTTTCATTTTGTTCTCACAAAAGCCGATTTTTTTAAAGTATTTAAGCCAGTGTTACAAGAATTATAAGTCTTTGCTTTCACCCAAGTTTTCAGATAAAAATATTTTGTATTTGAATATTATAGTAAAACAGGAAAATATATCCCAATATATGCAATATATGTATCTATGTAATGGTACATGTGGACAGACTTTCTTTTTTTTTAAACCCTTCCTACAGGTGTATATGTGAGATTATCACAACATAACAACATATCATATTGATTTGAAACTGATCATTAAAAGTGTTGTTTACAATGGCAGTCAACCTTTGTAACTGAGGTCATAACGCCAAGATTAATTACTAAATTTGTGATAACATCTTTGCCTGTGAATTTACTAATCTTATCATTTATCTTCTATAAGCATCTAAAACTTCTCTCACTCAAACAGTACTTTGCTGTTGAATAAACAAACAAAAAAATCCAAACAGTAAAAAAACAAACACAGAGAAAGCACAATGCAATTGAGAGACTTTGCAAGGATTTGAAATTGCGGTAGCTTCCTCTTTTCTGAAAGAAAACTTTTTGGGAAAATAAACCTCTATATGTGGTTATAAGCAGTGTATCTGTGTTCACAAATAAAAATATTGAAAGTTAGGTATAATTTCCATCATAAAGAAAAGTGATGTAAAAAATGCTGCACAATTTTAAAACCACTGAAAAGTAATGATTTCTTAATAGGACTTCCAGAGCCAGAGGAAAGTTTATGAAACTACTTTGAGTCATAAGTGTGTGAACCGCAGCTGAAAAGAATGATCATTTTCTTACTCGCTGGTAAAAGTGCTATATACCAGCAGCGCATCTTTTATTGACAGACTATTTTTACTAACCACCATGCGTCTGTCAGTTCGTTGTACTGTGGTGGCCTGCATGTTGTTGTGATACTGGAAGCTATGCCACCAGTATTTCAAATATCAACAGGATCACCCTTGGTGGGCAGGTTTCAATGGCGCTTCCAGACTAAGACAGACTAGGAAAAAGGACCTGGTAGTCTACTTCTGAAAAAATTGGCCAGTAAAACCTTATGAATAGCAGTGAAACATTGTCTGATATAGTGCCAGAAGATGAGCCCCTCAGGTTGGAAGGCACGACTAGGGAAGAGCTGCCTCCTCAAAGTAGAGTCCACCTTAATGACGTGGATGGAGTCAAACTTTCGGGATCTTCATTTGCTGATGAGGCATGATTCAAAATGAGAAGAAACAGCTGTAAACAGTAATAGTTAGAATGTGGAATGCAGTAAGTATGAATCTGGGAAAATTGTAAGTTGTAAAATATGAAATGGAATGCATAAAGATTGATACCTTAGGCATTAGTGAGCTAAAATAGACTGGTATTGGCCATTTTGAATCAGACAATCATATGGTCTACCATGCCAGAAATGACAAATTGAAGAGGAACAGTGTCATGTTCATCCTCAAAAAGAACATTTCAAGGTCTATCCTGAAGTACAACATTGTCGGTGATAGGAAAATATCCATAAACCTACAAGGAAGACCAGTTTATAAGAGTATTATTCAAATTTACACACCAACCACTAATGCCAAAGATGAGGAAATTGAAGATTTTTACCAACTTTTGCAGTCTGAAATCGATCAAACATGCAGTTAAGATGCATTGAAAATTATTGATGATTGGAATGTGAACGTTGGAAATGAAGAAGAATTGGTAGTTGGAAAATATGGCCTTGGTGATAGAAACGATGCTGGAAATGGTATGATAGAATTTTACAAAACCAACAACTTCTTCATTGCAAGTAACTTTTTTAACAACATAAATGGAGACTATACATGTGGACCTCACTGGATGGAAAACACAGGAATAAAAATGACTGCATCTGTGGAAAGACACAATGGAAAAGCTCAATATTATCAGTCAGAACAAGGCCAGGGGTCGACTGTGGAACCAACCATCAATTGCTCATATGCAAGTTAAAGCTGAAGAAAAGTAAAATAAGTCCACGAAAGCCAAAAAATGACCTTGAGTATATCCCACCTGAATTTGGAGAGCATCTCAAGAATAGATTTTATGCATTGAACACTGAAGAGCAGACGAGTTGTGGGAAGACATCAAGGACATCATATACGAAGGAAGCAAAAGATCATTAAAAAGACAGGAAAGGAAGAAAAGACCAAAATGGATGTCAGAAGAGACTCTGAAACTTGCACTTAGACATTGAGTAGCTAAAGTGAACGGAATAAATGATGAAGCAAAAGAGCTGAAGAGAAGATTTCAAAGGGCAGCTTCAGAAGACAAAGTAAAATATGAAAATGAAATATACAAAGAACTGGAGTTAGAAAACCGAAAGGGAAGAACACGCTTAGCATTTCTCAAGCTGTAAGAACTGAAGAAAAATTCAAGCCTTGAGTGGCAATTTTGAAGGATTTTATGGGAAAAATATTGAATGACATAGACAGCATCAAAAGCAGATGGAAGGCATACACAGAGTCAATATACCAAAAATAATTGATCAACGTTTAACCATTTCAGGAGGTATCATATGATCAAGAACCAATGGTACTGAAGGAAGAAATCCAAGCTGCACTGAAGATAATGGTGAAAATCAAGGGTCCAGGAATTGACAGAATACCAGGTGAGACATTTCAACAAACAGATGCAGCCCTGGAGGCACTCATTTGTCTATGCCAAGAAATTTGGAAGACAGCTACCTGGCCAACCAACTGGAAGAGATCTATATTGGTGTCCGTTACAAAGAAAGGTGATCCAATATAACGTGTAAATTATCGAACAATATCAATATCACACCCAAGTAGAATTTTGCTGAAGATCATTCAAAAGTGGTTACAGAAGTACATTGATAGGGAACTGCCAGAAAATTTAAGCTGGACTCAGAAGAGGATGTGAAATGAGGGCTATCATTGTTGATGTGAGATGGATCTTGGCTGAAAGCAGAGATTGCCAGAAAGATATTTACCTGTGTTTTATTGACTATGCAAAGGCATTTGACTGTGTGGATCATAACAAATTATGGATAACATTGCAAAAATGGGAATTCCAGAATACTTAATTTTGCTCATGAGGAACCTGTACATAGACCAAGGGGCAGTTGTTTGAATAGAACAAGGGGATACTACCTGGTTTAAATTCAAGAAAGGCATGTGCCAGGGTTTCATCTTTTCACCAAATTTATTCAATCTGTATACTTGACCAAATAATCCTAGAAGCTGGACTATATGAATAAAAACGTAGCATCAGGATTGGTGGAAGTCTTACTAACAACCCGTGATCTGAAGATGACAGAATCTTGCTTGCTGAAAGCAAAGAGGGCTTGAAGCATTTACTGATGAAGATCCAAGACTACATACAGCCTTCAGTATGGAGTACACCTAAACATAAAGAAAACAAAAATCCTCACAACTGGACCAATATAAGCAACATCATGATAACTGGAGAAAAGATTGGCCTTGTCAATAATTTCATTTTACTTGGATCCACAATCAACATCCATGGAAGCAGCAGTCAGGAAATCAAATGATGTTTTGCACTGGGAAAATCTGCTGCAAAAGACCTCTTTAAAGGGTCAAAAAGCAAAGCTGTCACTTTGAGGACTATGATGTGCCTGACCCAAGCCATGGTATTTTCAATTGCCTTATATGCACACAGAAGCTGGAAAATGAATAAGGAAGACTGAAGAATTAATACTTTTTAATTTGGTTTTGGTGAAGAGTATTGAATATACCATGCAATGCCAGAAGAACTAACAAGTCTGTCTTGGAAGAAATACAGCCAGAGTGCTCCTTGGAAGCAAGGATGGTGAGACTTCATCTCATGTACTTTTGACGTATTATCAGGAGGGACTAGTCCCTGGAGAAGGACATTATACTTGGTAAAGTAGAGGGTCATCAAAAAAGAGGAAGACCCTAGACGAGATGGACTGTCACAGTGGCTGCAACAATGGGCTCAAACATAATAATGATTGTAAGGATGGCACAGGACTGGGCAGTGTTTCCTTCTGTTGTACACAGAGTCACTATGAGTTGGAATTGACTTGATGGCACCTAACAACAGCAACATATTTTTACTAACATTGTAAAACATTCAGTACTCAAATGTGTATGGTAAGCACTGTGTCCTTACTAACATAGTGAGACTTTTGAACATGGTAGGTTCCGGGACTTGCCAAAATTTGTGTGATGACATTAGCCCTAGAACATAGTATCAGGTGAAGCAATTGGCTTATTCTGAATCCTTAACCCCATCTTAATTCCATCACCAGAAAGACAAGCTAATTGGATGATTGAAAAAAGAAAGTTTTAAATACGGATCAAGTAGCCCTCAAATCAGATCAACTACATTTGAAATAAGTCTCTTCAGCTGAAAGTATTTTTATGAATGGTTAAAGCAAATGACTGTTAACCCAAAGGTTGGTGGCTGGAAACCACTAGCAGCTCCCTGGGAAAAAGATGTGGCAGTCTGCTTCCGTAGAGATTTACAGCCTTGGAAATCCTATGGGGTTTATATTAAAATTACAAAAATTCGTAGTAAAGCTATTTGGAAACTCACCTAATGCTGTTCTTGCTGGTGTAGCATCTTTTTTGATCCAAAAAGACACCCAGGATAGCACCACAGTCAGTATACAGGGAATGTATGTCTGAATAGTGAAGTATCCCATTCTTCTACTCAGTTCAAAATATATAGTCATGACAACATAATCACCTGTAATAAAATATTGTCAAAATTAAGACAACTTTCTTGGGTAAAAATAATAATAATTTTAGAAATTCTTTACAACTTATTTTGTTAAATGGATGACTTGGATAAAAATGTACAACTATAATATCAAATCAGGAAAATGATCAAAATGCTGATGTTCCTAAATTTTATTTTTGTAGTATCCATGGCTTTGTAAGGCATTTTACAGGTGAGATACCAAAGGACCCCTAGTGGCACAGTGGTTAAGGACTCAGCTGCTAACCAAAAGGTAGGTGATTCAAACCTACCAGCCACTCCTCAGGAGAAAGTGGCAGTCTGCTTGGGTAAAGATTTACAGCCCTGGAAACACTACGGGGCAGTTCTAGTCTGTCCTATAGGGTCCCTATGAGTCAGAATTGACTTCAAAGCAATAGGTTTGGTTTTTTTGTTTGTTTGTTTGTTTGTTTTGGGAGACATCAAAGAAAGAGTGTGGATTGGCAGAGGAGACAAACACAACCATCTACTCCATGAGGGTCAGGACCAAGAGCCTTTCCGGCTGAGTAACAGATAACAAACTCTACTCTAGAAGAGATACAGTGCCATATCAAGGAATTCCTTCAATAGTAAGAGGTATTATATCACACATGGACTTGTGCAACAGTTTTCTATTTTTATTTTGTTATGTCATGAATTTTAGCCTATCAGCTTTGTACTTTATGCTTTATTTAACATTTTTATATTTATCATGTTCATCCCTGCCTCTGGCACTTAGGCTGTGCCAACCCAGAAACTGAAGTACTCATCTTATGGCATTCTTTTCCCTCCTATTAAAACAAACCGCACCATGAAGGTGTTGGAAACAACAAAGATGTTACTAGAGGGTCCCTAAAATTCCCTGGGGGCAAGGGATGGAGAGTGGTGTGGTGGGATGCTCATTACGCTGACTACATTAATAACACTTTGACTCAGGTTTTGTTAGTGTTTGTAAAGAGGAATTACAAAAATGTTTTCAAACATCACAATGCACTAGTTAGGGCTTTTGTTTGAGTTAGTAACAGAAATTCATTTTAGAGCTGCCTTTGCTTAGGCAAAAATTGCATTTTTTTTTCTTCAAATACAGAGTTCTCTTATGCACTTGAAGGATGTATTGTGTTAGTGAGCTGTGGTGTAAGCAGGAGTACTCTTGGGCAGTGTACACAGGTAGGGCCAAGCCCCAAGCAGACATCCTTCCATTCCATTTCTCAGTCCGCTTCTCCAGGCTACTTGCTCCATGCTTTCCTACTCAGGCAGGCTTCTGTCACAGAGTAGTAATGACAATGATGGTTATTATACATGATGACTCCAGTGATAACCTAGAACATTTAGTTTTTGCTGGACATACACTATGTGCTAGGAGTTTTTCCTAAACTCTTTTATCAAGCGTACAGAGAGATTAAGTAACCTCTTCAAAGTTATACAAGTAGTGAGTGGCCAACTGGCATGCTGACCCAAGAGTCTGTCTTCAGAGCCTGCAGGGACCTCGGCTGCTATTAGCATCCAAATTCTTTATCTGGTAGTTCCCTCCACCAGAGAGACAATGACATTCATTTCTTCTCTCTAATTCTAAGTTCACATTCTCAGAAGGATGCTGACATGCTCAGTTTGGAACAAGTGCTTGTCTTTCGATCAGTCAAATACAGCCAAGGATGTGGGACACTACCATGAGCTTATCTTGGTTGGGTGCTCTCCCTTGGGCAAATCAACTTCAACTAAGGCTGGTTCACATTAGAAAATGGCAGATCCCACAGTGGTCTTGAAAGGAGGGGCAGTTCCCAGAAGAGAGGGCTTTGTTCCCGAAGACAGGTTGCTAGGCATCCAGAGATAACAGAGGTTATCCCTGGTCGGTAGGAAGGTTCTTGCCCAAGTCTTTCCTTCCAGGCTGTGCCAGAATGCTCACCGACCTTTCCACAGTAGTACCAGTAGTGCATGGCCTCAGGTAGCCTTTACAGCAAACACGTAACAATTGAAACAGCGACCAAAGAAAGGTCTTAGCTAATTAACGGAAGTGCCAGGATTTGAACCCAAGTTTGCATGGCTCTAAACCTCCTTAACCTCATCAGCCATGGCACTCATGTGGAAGTGAAGCAGGAGTAGTCAGGGGCCACAATCTGGGGCCTGATTCTATAGCACAGCTGGCTCTTGGTGAGGTCCTGGATATACCAGAAAAGTGGTCCCAGCAAGCACCACAGTCCTTGTTCTCCAGCGTCCACAGGAAATAGGACCATGGCCAAGCCAGAGACACACGATGTGTTCTTCCAACTCTACTGTCCCCGACAAGAGAAGAGACGCATAACAAATAATCTATAGGTCATGCGTATGTTACATTGGTCATGTAGTTCTAGGACACTTAAGTGAAAAAAACACGTTCCTTCTACCTGCTCCTCCTTCCAGCGCACACCCACCCACCCACATGCGCACATTTACACTCACAGATGCTCACTCATGCGTGGACCCAGCCCACTCCACCTTGAGTGAGAAGTCCCAGCTCCCCACATATGAAGTTGTGGGGCCTGCCTTCCCTCCCTGTCCCTGCTTCGCCTGCAGCCTCCTGCATGCAATTCACAGGCTGTCCTGAAAAGATCCTTGGGCTCAGTCAGAGAGGAAATGAGCAGCTTCTCTTTTACCCATCTAGGTAGAAAAGCCATGTTGTGCCTGGTGGAATTATAAGATCAAGCATCTTTTTGCAAGTTGTTCGTTTTGTGATTCTTTGAGCAAATACTATGTTCCTTCTCATTGGATGTAGAAAGAGAAATAAGGTACAGACTATTCCCTCAAGTTTAGGGTCTAGCCACATCTTTCATAATTTGTTCAGTGTTGTTCCTGGGTATACCATTTCAAAACCATCACTTACTCCATGTCATAGAAGAAGTCCTCATTTCTTTTCTTTTTTCTTTCTTTATTTTTGATTTTTTGTGTATTAGGTAAAAGTTTACGGTGCAAACTAGTTTCTCATTCAAAAATTTATACACGTACTGTTTTGTGACATTGGTTGCAATCCCCACAATGTATCAGCACTCTCTCCTTTCCCTTTCCACCCTAGGTTCCCTGCATCTAATTGTCCAGTTTTCCTGTCCCTTCCTGCCTTCTCATCTTTGCTTTTGGACAGATGTTGCCCATTTGGTCTCCTATACTTGATTGAACAAAGAAGGACGTTCCTCATGTGTGTTGTTTGTTTTATAGGCCGGTCTAATCCTTGGCTGAAAGGTAGACTTCAGGAGTCGCTTCAGTTCTGAGTTAGCAGGGTGTCTGGGGCCCATAGTCTCAGAGGTTCCTTCAGTCTCTGTCAGACATGTAAGTCTAGTCTTTTCTTGTGAATTTGAATTTTGTTCTATGTTTTTCTTCTGCTCTGTCAAGTACCCTCTATTGTGATCCCTGTCAGAGTGGTTGGTGGTGGTAGCCTGGTGCCATCTAGTTCTTCTGGGCTCAGGCTGGCAGATGCTGCGGTTCATATGGTCCATTAGTCCTTTGGACTAATAATTTCCTCATGTCTTTAGTTTTCTTTGTTCTCCTTTGCTCCGAATGTGATGGGACCAATAGATGCACCTTAGGTGGCTGCTTGCAAGCTTTTAAAATCCCAGACACTACTCACTAAAGGAGGATGTAGAACATTTTCTTTATGAACTATGTTATGCCAATTGACTTAGATGTCCCCCGAGACCATGATCCCCAACCCTCAGACCCAATTACTCAGTCCCTCAAGGTGTCTGGATGTGTCTAGGAAGCCTCTATGACTTTGCCTCGGTCAAGTTGTGCTGACTTTGCCTGTATTGTGTGTTGTCTTTCCCTTCACCAAAGTTAATACTTGTCTACTATCTAGTTAGTGATTTCCCCTCCTCTGCTCCCCCAGGTAGTAACCATTAAAGATTTTTTTTTTTCTGTATGGAAATCTTTTCTTGTTTTTTTTTATAATAGTGGTCTCATACAATATTTGTCCTTTTGTGATTGACTTATTTCACTCTGCATAATGCCCTCCAGATTCGTCCATGTTGTGCCATGTTTCATGGATTCATTATTGTTCTTCATCTTCGCTTAGTATTCCATTGTATGTGTGTACTATAATTTATCCATTCATTTGTTGATGGGCACTTATGTTGTTTCCAACTTTTTGCTATTATGAATAATGTTACAGTGAACATGTCGATTCTTGTGATGGCTCTTAGTTCTCTAGGATATATTCCTAGGAGTGGGATTACTGAATCATGTGGTATTTCTAGCTCTAGCTTTTCAAGGAGGCACCATATCATTTTCCATAGTGGTTGTACCATTTTACATTCCCACCATCAGTGCATAAGAATTCCAGTCTCCCCGCAACGTTTCCAACATTTGTTGTTTTCTGGTTTTTTGATTAGTGCCAGTAATGTCAAAGTGAGATAGTATCTCACTGTAGTTTTTGGTTGTATTTCTCTAATGGCTAACGATTGTATTTCCTCATGTGTCTGTCAGCCGCTTGAGTGTCTTCTTCCGTGAAGTGTCTGTTCATATCCTTTGCCAATTTTTTTGATTGGATTATTTGTCTTTTTGTTGTTGAGGTGTTGAAGTATTCTATAGATTTTAGAGATTAGACCCTTGTCAGATACATCACAGCCAATTTTTTTCCCCCATTTTGCAGGTTCTTTTTATACTCTCGTAGTGAAGTCTTTTGATGAGCATAAGTGTTTAATTTTTAGAAGCTCCCAGTTATCTAGTTGATCTTATCCCAGTTATCTCTAATTTATTTTCTGGTGCTTGTGCATTGTTAGTTATGGTTTGTATTGTATTTATGCTATGTATTAGGGCCCCTAGCATTGTCCATATTTTTTCTTCCATCATTTTTATTGTTTAAGGTTTTACATTTAGGTCTTTGATCTATTTTGAGTTAGTTTTGGTGTATGGTATGAAGCATGGCTCCTGTTTCATTTTTTTATGGATTAACATCCAATTTTGCCAGCATTTGTTCAAAAGACTGGCTTTTCACCATTGAATGGACTTTGGTTCTTTGTCAAAGA